GGTGAGTTTGAATCACAGACTTTGCCTATATGAGGAAGCTGAATAAAGTTCCTGGAAAAATAGAATTAAAAGATAATGGAATTTTTTTCATGAACTTTTTGAAGACTTCTCAGATTAATTAATACAATGGTCATGCTTGAAGGTCTGTGTTCTCTGCAAATTTATAAAGTTTTTAAGGAGCTACTTTGAAAATTGCTTGTATTGGGGCTGTAGTTGAGAATGAGTCTCTTACCTGGTGATGACTGAGCATATTGAAAGTGACCTATCTGTATCCTTGTTGATCCTCATAACATCTGGGGGGTGGGAGGGAAGATCATTGTAACATCCACATTACAAATATGGAAGTGATAGCGTTTCTTATAGAAATACTTTTGAATTTCTATAATCACAAAAGCCTTGGGAAGTACTCTTGAATGTCCAAGTATGAGTATGTGTGCACTACAAGGGGGAAATGGTCTATATGCTAGTCATGTCTTAGAGTAATCAATGGTGAGTCTCTCCATCCAGGCCCATCAACACATAGACTCAAAAGCTATCTTCCTCTAGTGTATTTTGGGAAACAACTGTTATTTTACTGTTGTTCCTGTTGTTGTTGTTAAGTGCCATTGAGTCAGTTCCAACCCATAGTGACCCTGTATAGGGTTTCCAAGGAGCACCTGGTGAGCTTGAACCTCTAACCTTGCAGTTCAAATGACTTTGCAGTCTGATGCTTTAGCCCATAGTGCCACACCAGGGTTGTTGCTGAGTTGTCATCAATTAAGATAGTTATCCAAGATCGTTATGTTCCCATTGGAGTCTCTTAGTTCCTTTTGATTCTCCTTCCGAATACTGCTGATGATCAATGTTAAGCCATTAGAACCACTCTCTTCTAGTTTGTCATACTTTTATGTTGGTCTCAGTGGATGAGTGATGTGGGTCAGACCACTTCCTTTGGTCTTTACTTGCCTTTCATAAATTCCCCATAATATAATCACAGAAGCTTAACAGGTATACTAGATGTAATAAAGTGTGATAACTAAATACAATACAATGTAAGAAAATTAGCACTTTAATGCTAAATAAAACTGCTCTCAAAATTCAAGGGAAAAGAACCAGACTTTAAATTAAACCTCCACAGGACAGTCCCACATGACTATACCTCACTTACTATCCTTGACTTTGGTCATAAAATCTGTACTTCCTTCTTTCTGAGAAAATCTCCTTCATCAATCGTTACAGCATTCATTTTCATTCCCTTTTATGAAAATCCCACACTACTTACAAGATTCTGCCCTAGGATCACTCTCCTCTTCCCACTAGTCTAACCCATGGGCCCCACAGACCTCAGTGGGAAGCTTCCCTGAGATGGTTTGGTAGGTATAGAATGAAACCAGAATCTGATGTGGGCTTTGAACTTCCAAAACTGATTCCTGTCCTTGAGCCCTGCCAGGTTAGGATACATCTATGTCTCCTTGTTTTTCCTGAAATTCAGTGAGTAACACATTACATTAAGACATCCACATTCATCTCATAAGCAACTAAAAAATTTAAGAAAGAATTTAGCCTGTGCTCATACTAAGGAGAAAACAAACAAACCCTAACTGCAATGATAAAAAATGCCCAAATTAATTTTATGAAGTGATTTTCACCTTGATACCAATACCAGGCAAAGACATCATTAAAAAAGAAAATAATGGATCATTATCCCTCTTGCACATTGATATAAAAACTCTCAACAAAATCCTAGCCAACATTTTCAACATATTGAAAAACATCATACATCATCACTAGTGGGATTCATACTAGCTTTGCAAGGATTCAATACTAGAAACAAAAATCAACATGATCTAGCACATAAATAAAACATAGGAAAGGAACAACATGATCCAAAATGTATTTGACAAAATCCAACAACCATTACTGATAAAAGTACTCAAAAAAACAGGAAAGAAGGAAAATTCCTTAATATTATTAAATACATTGGTTACAATGGAGACAAACCGAAAGTTTTTGCCTTGTGAATGGGAATTAAACAAGGATGCCCTTTATCACCACTCCTACTCAATATGATGCTAGAAGTCTTAGCCAGAGGTATAAGGCAAGAAAGGGAAATTAAAGGCATCAAAGTGGCACAGAAGAAATAATGCTCTCTCCATTTGCAGATGCTATAATCCTACACATAGAAAATCCTGAAGAGTCAGCAAGAACATTACTGAAAGACATTGAAAGATTCAGTAAAGTGGCAGAGTACAAGATCAGCAAACAAAAATCAGTCAGATACCTTTACATGAATAAAGAGAGCTCTGAAAAGGAAATCAGGAAAATAATACCATATACAATAGCCACCCAAAAGATAAAATACTTAGGAATAAATTTAACCAGAAAAAACACACCTATACACAGAAAAATACAAAACACTACTACAAGAAACCAAAAGAGAACTACATTAATGGAAGAATGTACCATGTTCATAGGTATGAAGACTCAACATTATGAAAATGTCAATACTACCCAAGGTGATCAATAGATAACATAATCCCAATACAGATTTCAGCATCAATCTGATGGGAAAAAACTACCATCAACTTTATATGGAAAGTAAAGAGATTCCAGATAAGCAAAGAACTACTACAGAAGAACAAAGAGACCTCTCATTTCCTGATCTGAAAACCTACTACACAGCTACAACAGCCAAAACAGCTCTAAATCCTGGTACAATGACAAACACATAGACCAATCATACAGGATTGAAAATCCAGAAGTAAATCCATCGACATATGGACATCTGATCTTTGATAAAGTGCTCAAACACATTAAGTGGGGAAGGGATCATCTCTTTGACAACTGGTACTGGCAAAACTGGATATCCGCTTGCAGACGAATGAAACATGACCCAAGTTGTTATCATTGTTGAGTGCTATCGAGTTGATTCTGACTCACAGCCACTCTGTATAAGGTTTCCAAGGAGTGGCTGGTGGGTTTGAACTGCAGACCTTGTTGCTAACAGTTTAGGGTTTATCCTACAATGCCACCTCAAGACCTCACACCATATACAAAAATGAAGCCAAGATGGATAAGTAAATGTAAAACCTAGAACTAAAAAGATAATCAATGGAAACACAGGGACAAACATAGGGGCCCTAGTACATGACATAAATATACAGCTATGTTTTCAAATATAACTGAAAACACGCAAACAGCAGAAAGCAAAGTGGATGGCTGGGACCTCCTCAAAACTGGACACTTAAGTGCATCAAAAGCTTTCACCAAAAGGGTAAAAAAAAAAGCTGGGGTAATGACATCTCACACAAGGTATTAATGTCCAAAATTTATAGAAAATGTCATATATCTTAATTTTAAAATGAGCAGAGGACATGAGCAGACATTTCATTTCATTTCAAAGAAGACATTCAGGTGACTAACAAACATATGAAGAAATGTTTCTGATTATTAGCCATTAGAGAAATGCAAATCAAAACAACAGTGAGATATTTTACCCTAGCATTAATAACAACCCTAAAAAGAACCAGAAAACAACAAATGCTGATGAGGGCGTGCTGATCCTGGAACTTTCCTACACTCCTGGTGGAACTGTGAAATGGTTCAATCACTGTAGAAAAGCATATTGTACTTCAAAAGTTGGAAACGGAAAAACGATTCGATCCAGCAATCCCTCTGCTTGCTATATATCCTAGAAAAATAAGATTCGTGACAGAAATAGATACCTGTATTCCCATGTTCATTGTAGCACTGCTTACCATAAAAAAATGGTGGGAAAACGTAAAAGCCCATCAATAAAAGAGAAGATGAACAAACTTCGGTACCTACACTCAATGGAATACTTCCTTGTTATTGTTGTTAAGTGCCTTCCGGTCAGTTCCACCTCAGAACAACCCTGTATAAGGTTTCTGAGGCTTTTTAAAATCATTGCAGAAGCAGAAATTCTCATCTTTCTTCCACTCACTTACTGTCTCAGAATGAAAAACTGTCATTGTGCAAAATCTCACTGTTGTCAATTCAAAAACACTCCCTAGACAAGGTTTCTACCTATATCACAGCCCTCATTATAATCTTCATTCAACACTTTACCTGCATGGCATGTATCATCACTTGCAATTAAACATGTGTATGATGATTTGTATCCTGTCAATTTCCTCCATGAAGGTGGGAATCACATCAATTTTGCTCATCTAATATGGTGCCTGATATATAACAGTAGAGTTTAAAGGTTACAGCTGAGTAATTAATTGAGTGAGGAATGAACTGTTCGTTCACCCTGGACCAGAAATGGCACCTGCCTTTGAGATCTAGGAGAGCAGGAAACATACAGCAAATAAGACAGATCTTGAGGCTTAGCAAACCTAACGGAACATGATTTTTCCCTCACAGTTTGTCCCTTCCTTTTTTCTGTTCTTCCTTCCAGGAAGACATTTTAGATTCTGAATCTTGAGCTTGAAGTCATCTAGTCCATGTTTTATAAATGTAATAACTATGAGATATAATCCTAAATACTCAAAGGTAACGTGACACCTTGATCCTTCTGTCCAATGTCTCTCTCTGCCCTACACCAACCACACGCCATCCTATAGAATCAACCCTCCTTGTGAAAGGGAGAAACCAGTTAAAATGTATAGATGAAAAATGTGCCATCATGAATGGACAAGCCTCACTCATCCCAAAAGGTGACTGCACAGAGAGATGTGAGAAAACAAAATACTAGAATCTGTGCAACAGACTCCTATCACATCTCTTCCCTATCTATAAAAATCTTCCAGTGTACTTTCAGAAGCAAATCAGCAGCACCCTTCAGCTCTCAGAACCAATCTGGGGATATGAAAAAGCTTGTGATGACCATGAAAGAAGGTACGAACTAAACTACAGCTCCCTGGCCACCCAGACTAAAATCCACTGTGAAAACTCTTCAGCCGGTCACCAAGTAGAGGCAGCATAAGATAGTGGTTAGGCTCTAGATCTCCAGATTCAGACAAGCCCCAATGAATCTCCGTTTATCCTCTTACTAGGTATGATGTGGGTCAAGTGCAATGTATTCGAGCTGTCTGTGAAATGGGGATAACCACCCCTGCCCCCAGAGCATGGTTACTAGGGTATGAAGATACTGGGCCTGAAGGGCTTAGCAGTGGATGGCACATCATTGTTGTTAGTTGTCTCCCAGTCCATTCTATTCAGATCATGGTGGCACTATGTGTGCAGAGTAGAACTGCCCCCAAGGGGTTTTGGGGCAGACTGCCAGGCCTCTCTTGCAAAGCACCTCCAGATAGGTTCAAATGTTTGGGCTAGTTGAACCACCCAGAGACTCTTAAGGCATGTAATAAAATCTCCAGAAATGTCAGCTGTTGATCATTTTATTCAGCTATAATCATTTCACAAAGCCTAGTCCATCTCTAGCTTCCATATCATTTTAAAGATGCCATTGTATCCTATTTTGAAAGAGCCATACACACCATTGTTTGAGCACATGTGCAAGAACCAGACTACTTGGGCCTCAGGTTCCCCATCTGTGAAAGAACCTAAAAACACCTATGCCTGTGGTAGCAAACATGCCGTAAATGTTACACATCTTTTTACTAGATTGTAATTAGAGTGCATTTAGGAGTCCTGGTGTGGCGCTGTGGGCTAATGCATCAGACTGTAAAGTCATTTGAACTGCAAGGTCGGTGGTTCAAGCGCACCAGCTGCTCCTTGGAAACCCTATACAGGGTCGCTATGGGTCAGAATCGACTCGATGGCACTTAACAACAACAACAGTTAGAGTGCATTTAGGGAAAAGTAAACCTACAACTCCCAATTCCGAAAGAGCACTCTTAGTCCCTTAGTCCGAGTTCATGTGCCCAAGTTCTAACAGACACCTCCAGCCTTGGTCTCTTCCCACCGACAACCCTGCTCAGGTTGCACTACAGTTCATCCTGGGAATGGAATAGTCCACACCATTTAAAGAACAATGACGAATCTGCAAAACACCTTATAACCTGGATGAAGTTTGAGGACATTATGCTGAGTGAAATAAGTCAGTCACTAAAGGACAAATAGTATATTAGAGCACTGTTGTAAAATTCCAAAGAAAAGGTTTCACACCGAAAGGGACATTCCTTGATGGTTACTAGAATGGGAGGGCAGGGAAGGGTGGGCCACTAGCTGGAAGGATGTCATATGTTGGAAGAGAGAAAGAGACAAAGAGAGAAAGAAAGAAAGGAGAGAAAGAGAAGGGAAGAGAGAAAGAAAGAAGAAAGATATCAATGAAATTACAGCTTTTCTTTACATGGTGGTTGTTATTGCTGTGAAATGCTATCAAGTTGGTTCTGACTCAACATTTTTCGCTAGGATGTTTTTCTGTCATCTCTGTGTAGAACTGTGGGCTACAGTTTGGCCAGGAGAAGTTTGTTTTTTAAGTCCGATATACATGCTTGCTGCTGTTAAGTGCCATTGAGCCAGTTCCAGCTCATAGCAGCACTGTATAGAGCTTCCAAGGAGCAGCTGGTAAGTTTAAACCATTTTACAGGTGAGGAAACAAAAACACCTAAATTAATGAATATGGTCACAATCACACATCTGGTAAATGTTCACTGTGAAGCCCAATGCTGAAACACTATGTTGTGTATTTTCATCATAAACAAAAGTAAAAGATGACTAGTTTAATACTTGAACCCAACACATAGCATTGTAGTCATAAATTCCAAATGTTAGTCCTTTGACTTGCTGAGTCAGTCCCTGTCCTAAACCTGGTGAGGAGAAGTGCAGAGTTCAACTGAGCCTTTCAAAAATGTGGTTGCTCTTACAAGAGCACATGTGGACAAGTTGTTTGTATTTTTTGTCTTTTTGCCACTTGGGGAGAAACATTTGTTGCACTCTGTGAGCTAGAACAGAGGAACGAGGCTCAATTGTAGCGAATCTTATATTTATTCTTATCTTGGGTACTTTCCTGAATCTGGCCATAGCAGATTATAACCGAGAGAATAATTTAAGAACGGGAGTTCTCAGGATACTTCAAATTAAAGTTGTTAGACCTCAGGAATCTCCTCTAGATAATGTAGTCTATGAATTTGGGGAGAAGGATTATTGATTCTTAGATTTTATTTGCTTTCTGACTTTTTTGCGCTCTCTTTCTTTGTATTTCTCCCCCCAAATTTGTCAGTTTTGCTCTTCACTTGTTTATTATTAAAGTAAGTACTTGGTAGGGTAAATAGTTTGAAAAAAAGTTAGTTTAGCTTCTGTTGGGATTTGTCTTGAGATTTAATTTAGCCATATGAAACTACTGCTACCGTGTGTTCCTGTCCCCCACTCCATTCATAGATATTATTCAGTGCTCCCCTTTTCACTATTGACTGGTTCTTCTTCACCTTTAAGCAGACACCGTTGTCTTCTATCTTGAAACCAAGATGAAAAATTCAGAGAATTTTAAGGCAAAATTTTTCTTAGAAACTAATTTTTACAGAATAGGATACTGAAGTAACGATGTAGAGAAACTTTCCCAAATTAAAAGCTGTTTACCTGCTCTTCTAATGGATAGTCCACTACAAATACTTGTTTATGGAGATTGTTTTGGAAATCAAATCATATAATTAATGTACTATTTTAGTAAAAAAAAAAAATAATAAGTAATCACTACTTGTCTCTCGATTTTTCATACTGTGGTGGTTGCGTGTTGCTCTGATGCTGGAAGCTTGTCTCACAGTGGTTTAAGCTTATGGACTAGTAACAGGAGATGCAGACCATTTTAAGTGACGGTTGGTCACTTAAAAGCTTATGAACAGCAGCAGCGCATTGTTAGTACATGAGCCCCTCAGGCTGGAAGGCCCCCAAAATGTGACTAGGAAAAAGCTGCCTCCTCAAAGTAGGCTTGACCTTAATGATGTGAATGGAGTAAAGTTTTGGGGACTTTCATTTGCAGAGGGAGCACAACTCAAAATGAAAAGAACTACCTGCAAACATCCCCTAATAATCAGAATGTGAAATGTACTTAATTATGAATCTAGAAAATTTGAAAGTTATGAATAAATGAAATGGAGACATAAAGACCGATATCCTAGGCATTAATGAGCTGAAATGGACTGCTGTTAGGCATTTTGATTCAGTCAGTCATATGTTTTACTATTCCAGGAATGTTACATTGAAGACGAATGGCGTCACATTTATTGTCAAAGAACGCATTTCAAGATATATCTTGAAGTACAGTGCTATCTGTGATAGAATATATTATCTGTACACCTACAAGAATGACCAGTAAATATCACTATTATTCAAATTTACACATCAACTACTAAAGCCAGTGATGATAAAAATGAAGAATTCTACCAACTTCTTCAGTCTGAAATTGATCAAACATGGAATCAAGATGCATTGATAATTGCTGGTGATTGGAATGTGGAAGTTGAAAACAAAAAGGAAAGATCGGTAGGTACTTGGAAAATATGGTCTTGGTAGTAGAAATGATGCTGGAGATCATGTGATAGAATTGTGCAAGACAATCTGACTTATACATTGCAAATACCTTATTTCAACAACATATGCAGAGATTATACACGTGGACCTCATGAGTTAGAATACACAGGAATCAAATTGACTACATCTGTGGGAAGAGATGATCGAGAAGTTCAAGATCTTCAGCTAAAACAAGACTAGGGATCAGCGGTGGAACAAACCACCAACTGCTCATACGCAAATTCAGGATAAAGCTGAAGAAAATTAAAACAAGTCCACAAGAGCTAAAATATGACCTTGTGCATATCCCACCTGAATTTAGAGACCTTTTCAAGAACAAATTTGGCACGTTATACTAAGACTAATGACCAGAAAAGTTGTGGGATGGCATGAAAAACATCATCCATGAAGAAAGCAGACCAGTCATTAAAAAGACCAAAATCGTTGTCAGAAGAGACTCTGAGATGCTCTTGACTTTAGAGAGGCCAAAGCAACTAGGAGAAATGAGGAAGTAAAAGAACTGAACAGAAAAATTTCAAGAACAGCTCAATAAAGCACCAGAAAATAATACAATGAAATGTTCAAAGACCTGGAATTAGAAAACCAAATGGAAAGAACACACTTGGCATTTCTCAAGCTGAAAGAGCTGAAGAAAAAAATCAAGTCTTGGGTTGCAATACTGAAGGAAAATATGAGCCCTGGCATGGTGCTGTAGGATAAGCACTAGATTGCTAACACCAAGGTCAGTGGTTCAAACCTACCAGCCATTTTTAGAAACCCAATACAAGGTTGCTATGAGTTGGACCTGACTCAACAGCATACAAAAACAACAACGTGGTTAAAATATTGAATGATGAAGGAAATATCAAAAGAAAATAGATGGAATATACAGAGTCACTGTACCAAAAAGCATTGGTTGATTTTCAGTCATTTCAAGAGGTACCATATGATCAAGAACTGATGGCATTCAAGGAAGAAGCCCAAGATACACTGAAGGCATTGGGAAAAACAAAACAAAACAAGCCTCCAGGAATTGTCAGAATACAAATTTAAATGTTTCCACAAATTGACACAATGCTGGAGGCGCTCACTAGCCTATGCCTCAAAATCTGGAAGACAGCTACCTGGCCAGCCAATTGGAAGAGAGCCATCTTTGTGCCCATTCCAAAGAAAGAGGACACAACATAATGCGGAAATCATGGAACAATATCATCAATATCACATGCAAATAAAATTTTGCTGAAGATAATTCAACAACTTTTATAGCAGTACCTTGACAGTGAGCTGCCAGAAATTCAAGCTGCATTCAGACGAGATCATGGAACAAGGAGTATCATTACTAATGCCAGATGATGGATCTTGGCTAAACGCAGAGAATAGCAGAAAGGTATTTACTTGTGTTTTATTGACTATTTACTGGCTATAGAAGCATTTGACTGTTTTGACCATAACAAACTATGGATTAAGTTTGTTCTTTCCATAACATTTCATTGTGCTCCTGAGGAACCTGTGCAAAAGACCAGGAGACAATCATTCAAATAGAACAAGAAGATAATTAATGGTTCAAAATGAGGAATGGTGTACATCAGATGAACATCTGTTCACTGGATTTATTTAATCTGTATGTTGAGCACATAATCTGAGAACCTGGATTATACGAAGACATTGACAACCTGTGATATACAGTTGACAATTTTGCCTGCTCGAAGTGAAAAGGACTT